CAGCGTTGGCTGATTGCTCGCCTGGAATCTTCTGTGACTTGAGCTTTAGATAGATGATAATGTAAAGTATAGCAATCAACACCAATGGGATAAACTGGAGTACAACAATACCGGAGAAGAGGTATTTCTCATAGGATGAGAACTCTCCAAAAACTTCATTCCAATGCCGCTGACAAACCAGCTTTTCTGGATATTCAACAAGTTTGCGAGCGACGAGCTCTGGAGAGTAAACAGCTATCGCGACGATCCAAGTGGCGAGATTGAAGAACGGGCACAGCTTTGAACTGATGAGTGGAGAACGGAGAGGAAATACCACAGCTCCAAATCGATCCACTGCTATCAGAACCAGGCTCTGAATAGACACAGCAGAGGACATCTTTGGTAAGAAGAAATACAGTTGACATAAAGCCTGGCCAAGAAGACCACCGATCAGCCAGGAGTCCATATAGAGCCTTTGTATCAACCAAGGAATCATAAAAAGCGGAAGCAGCAGATCTGACATGGCCATGTTTACAATGAAAAAGTTGATGGGTTTTCTCATGGTTTTCGCCTTGTAGACGATTATTCCGATGACGGTGTTCCCAGCCAACGAAAAAATGAAGATCAGGCAGTAAGCAAAGGTCACTCCAATTTTTTCTGCTGTAGGATTGCTGGAGCAGCTCGATGGCTGTGTTCCATTCATCGTTGTATTCGCGTTTTCCGACATCGCCGTTTAGTTTCTTTTTCTGCTCTTACGCTCACAAAAAGGTTTTCTTCTGGTTTCTTCAGTTAGTAACGTCACTCTATTTATGTTCTAGCGAAGGCGGGATAATTGTTCGGCTTGATGCCGTCATTCGCGAGAAAAGATTGATCGATTAGGGAATTTCCATGACATGTTTAATGATTGGCAGATCATTGTTCCAGCTGTGTGCAGTCTATTTGAACAAAAATAAATAAGGGTTTCCTATTTCATGAGTTGCTCAACAAAAGGAAGTGATCAGTCAGCTTGCGCCACAAATTGCTTTTTACTTTTTGTTTTCATTTCATGTCTTAACATCTATTCATCTGTACCATCTATCCATCTGTTCCAAGCATGATAAAAAGCCGTTAAAGTTTCTTCTTCCCGTTATTGTTTGGTCGTGCATCAAATTGTCCACCAAGACGAGTCAGCGATGTCTTATCACAGAATGGATCTTGCCGGAGTTTAAATTTAGAAATTTTAATGCCCAATATAATGATTGCGTAAATAGCCTTATCAAAGGCTGCCGCGCAAATGTGATAAGAATTTACTTTGCAGAGTCATGAAGTTTTCTCGTGTATCCAAATCAGTCTTTTAACAAAGAGACTCCTCCTCGTGTATTGCATATCACTTCAGCAACGGTAAATAACTTTAGGATCAGATTCAAACTTGGGTTATAGCACATGAGAATCCGTTTCTTTAAAAAATATGTTTGCATCTGTGTATAATAAAAAAAAAAAAAACATGTTAAGCCAAGTCGTGATATTTGAAACGGACATATTTCATGTAATAAATGTATGTTATTGAACTAACTTGTTCGGTCCATATTGGAGAAATAATGTTTGNTTTTTGCAGGTTTATGGACCGCACCCGTGTCTCGGTCCATAAAACTGCCAAAAGAAGAAGGATCATCAGTCAGTCAGTCTGTGCACAGCCTATTTGAAAAGAAAAATGAGGGTTTCCAGGCCCGTGGCTAGTAACAGACAAACCGAGGCACTGGCCTCAGTCATTTGTTTCGTTGTTGTTGTTTATAGTCTTCATAAACAACCTATAAATACCTAGGAAGAGAATTCAACCAAAAAGATTGCCTTGGTCAAAATCTTTTCATGGACAACGCCTCGGTCAAAAAATTTTCCAGGCTACGGCCCTAGTTTCCTATTTCGTGAGTAGCTCAACAAAAGGAAGTGATTAGTCAGCTTGCGCCACAAATTGCTTTTTACTTTTTGCTTTCATTTCATGTTTTATCATCTCTGAAACTGGAAGCAGACAGTTACTTCTGACGTCAATGCTGCAACAGATGGTGTATGTACTGACAGATGGCTGGGTTGTTTTTGAGATCTTTTCCAAGCATGATAAACAGTCGTTAAAGTTTCTTCTTCCCGTTATTTTTTGGTCGTACATCAAAGTTTTCATCAAGACGAGTCAGTGAGAGCACACGATGTTTAACGTTAGAACCCGAGCTCAATAAAAGAAAATTCATCTTGATGTCTTGTTACAGAATGAATCTTGTCGGAGTTTTAACTTAGAAATTTTAATGTCCAATATAATGACAGCGTAAACCGTCTAATCAAATGCCGCCGCGCAAATGCGATATGAATTTATTTTGCAGAGTCATGAAGTTTTCTCGTGTATCTAAATCAGTCTTTTAACAAAGAGACTCCTCCTCGTGTATGGCATCTGACTTCAACAATGGCGAATAACTTGAGGATCAGATTCAAACTTGGGTTATGGCACATGAGAATCAATTACTTTAAAAAATACGTTTGCACCTGTGTATAATCAGTAGTTCGTATCGTGTGATCGTCCGGGTAATGGTAGTTCTAAAAAGAACTGTTGTTGGTTACTGACGTTTCGACAACCAGAGCGGAAGTCATCTTCAGAGTCAATTAAATAGTGTTTGTCAGTCGATGATGTTATAGGACAGGGAGTAGTTTACAAGATCAAATGCTCCGACTGCCAGGCTTCCTACACTGGTGAGACTGGCAGAAACCTTCACACGAGACTGACTGAACACAAACGAGCCACGAGAAATGGTGATGCCAACAATCACATTGCTGTACATCA